GGTGGAAGAGGAACGGTGGACTTCCGGCAAGGAATTCGAATGCACGCGAAAGATGAGCGAACCGTGATACCCGATGATTCGATAGTTAAGAAACTCGCGAAAAGTTGCAGCTCCTCCAGAGCTCTCCGCCAGTTACTCCGCGCGGCTAAAGACAGCCTGGTCCTCCTGTTTTCGACCGGCTGAGAAGAAAAGTTTACCTGTCCGTGATTAAAGAGGAGGAAACTTATCTCCCTGATCTACGCACCCGGCAGGCTATCTTAGACAGCGAACTTGGCGCGAGGATAACGAGATTTCGAATCGGGACTGGCAATCTCTTCCATTCACCCCGACGATCTCTTCGTCGCGAAAGAAACGCGTGGTGTATTATTTCGGACACGAAGAGCACCTGAAGAATTAGGCCAGCAAGATCGAAGCTATTTATTATATGTCGGACTTTGTATTCTTGACTCGCTTCATTCGAGAATACTCGTTGCTCTAATAGCGTGGAAGTATACACCGTTCAACGAGAATCGACAGGAAATAGGTCTGAAACATCCTCGGACCTGGGTCCGATCTGATCCAAGATTGAAATCAGCCTATCAGAATATTTCGAGGGAAATTTTGACCAACCTCGTACCCAAGGACCCCTATTTAGGATTTCTAAAAGTCGATCCTGAGCATCGCCATTCAGCAGCCACCTATATTCTGTCAATTCTCATTAAACAGAGTATAGATAATTTTAGAACTATACTAGACCATAGAAAGGTCCTGTAAAACCGTCTCTAGATTGAAGGAAAACTCACTCGAGTGTGTTCAAATGTCAGAAGAAGAGGCTCTCAGGGTTTAACCCTTTGCACTCGAGAGGCACCCTTAAGTCGCCATATGATAAAATTTCGAAGCTCGATATTAATTAATATGTCAAATTTAAGATAATGTGACGATGTGCGAGGCATCGAGAAATCGAATAATTGTGTCAATTATTGCACGATTTGACATTTCACTGCTCAAAAAGATATCGTCAGCTTTATAGCAGAAAATCCTCGAACCCCTAATCTTCTTTAGCCAAAGAAATCGTCGAGTCCAAAGGGTAAGCCTGTCTCATAACGTTGATTCTTACAATTTATTCTCATCGAAAGGGTAATAATTTATGGTAATAGGGCTGTTTATGCCGGGGACATCGCGCAGCCTGTTTGGGAAATTCAGGAGCGACGATACACGTGCCACGGAACTTGTTAATGGCCCGACAGAAAGGAGCCATTTTAACGATACCACACCCGACACGGAACTTTCCGCACTCACTCTGGGTATTCGTTCTACGCGTCAGACAAGATTACCCCGAATGTTACCGCGTTCAACTAGCTCTCTGATACGCTAACTCGCGCCGCGATGATGATGTAAGAGCGGCTCTTAAACTGGCGCGAGCTCGAAATACAGGATGTAATGGCTCGGAGGTGTCGAGTTGCATAATTTGTCGCGTTCAGCGAACGCATCGCACTTACGCCCACAGATCTGATCGCGAAACAACGTTCAAACGTTTGGGAATCGGGTTGCCGTGGCCGGGAGAAATTTATTTCCCCGTTGCATCGATATCGCGGGGGGTTACGTTGACGATGGGTCCTGATCAGTGGTGTCAAATTCGCGTGGAAACTGTTTCGAAAACCATACGAGCCACGAACGAAAATCTATCGATGGAAAAATTGTTGGCCGACCAGAGAGGTACGAGGAACATTTTTATTTTTCGACATTCTAGTTTGTTATTCCCGTAAAATCAATTACAGGTTTCGTCAGGCAGAACGTTTGACCCTGTCGAATGTTTAGTTCCGGGCACATTGTTTTCGCAAATTTCAAGCAAATTTAATTATACGCGTATATATCCGTTACTCTATTTTATTTCAGCAACGTCATCCACGTTTAACTACTCGTGAAAAGGAAATTAGGATTAAAAAGGAAGAAACTGGATCGAGAAGTTTTTAGGACGTCTGCTGAGGAATACACGGTCGCGAGTGAATTCGTAATTTAAAGCACATTTCTGCGAACGAGCAGAACGTGAAGAAAGTTAGAAACGTAGAAAGAATTCTCGAAGGAGACGTTTAAACCGGGAAGAAAGATGGCGGGTGGAAAAAATCTTTCCGGGGGCACCTAAGACTAAGAATACGTTTGTCAGGCTCGACTTAATTTCAATTTCGAGTCGCCGCAGCTTTCCACGGGATTACGCGAAAAGCTCTCTTCACGGTGTAACCCAAATATTTATTGCCGTGTAAAAGTTCTCAAAGCTCGTGTTGCTCTAAACAGGCAGGCTCGGCCTTTGAGACAGCCGGAAGCGGAGCGTGCGTTTCCTCGCGTTCGAGCGTAATCCATTTGGATTAAATTCTACGCGTAAAAACGCGAAACCGTGGCAAGGTAACCGGCATTCTTCGCGGTTTAATTACATTCTTCTCCTGTGGCAAACTTGATCTGCATAAACATTCTTAGCCCGTAGAGGGTGGTGTGTAAAAACCTCGCTACCGGTAGAAATTCCTTCGTGGCCACACTCGACCCTAATAATACGATAACAATAACTAAGCAGCACCCTGGGAAAATGGTACAAGTGCATTCTTCTCGAAAACCGAGTTGAGTAAAAGCTAAATACGGTCGCTTGGACGATTCTGTTGGGCGTGTGGACGTGCGAAGTAGGCCTGGCGCCAGTGAACGATGAATGAAGCGAAATATTTGACACTTGCATGCAAACGCGTATTTATTTCTTAGCTTTGGATTAGGTTAGGTGAAAAATAAGAGTGGTCGTTTTCCGAGAATCTATGAAGGTGCGTTAATGCGTGTGTTAGAATTTTTAGGGACGAATGAGAATGAAAATCAGTCTGAATAGGAGAGTGCAAATCCTTCGGGACATTGATTTAGTCATTCAGTTCAAGAAAATATATCATTACAAGGGCAATTACTCAATAGTTTTCGAGATATTTATGATTAAAGTTTTGTTATTGAATTAATTAATTTCGAATATTAATTAATTTATTTCGAATATTTGTCAAGAGACATTGTGGCCTAACGATACATCCAAGAAAGGCCATCAGCGTGGAAATTTCCGAATATCGTCATTAGGCCACAACGGCACTTGATAAGTATTCGAAATTAATTAAGGCAATAACAAAAATTTAATCATAAATATCTCGAAAACTATCGAATAATTGCCTTTATAGTGATATATTTTCTTGAACTGAATGATTAAATTTACAAACCTACAAAGTTTCAACTAAATCTATGACCCGAAGGACTTGCACTCTTCTTGTGAGTCTGAGGTCAGGGACAAGAGAGTAGCCGTAATAGCGCAGCACGTCGTGCGATGTTTAGTCGTAACGTTTTGTAATTGTTAATCTATTTTTAATAATGTAGTATCGTAGGGATAAGGACCTCACGCGGGGTCCGTTTATAATATATGTAAGTACTGTGATGAACATAAGAAACCTACCTAGATCTTTAAGAAACCTACGTCTCGAGCTCGAGCCTATTATCCCCAGAAATTATCGCTGCAGAGTCACTGCGATCCTTCAGAAATTGGCATGTCAAAGCGTGTCGCTGTTTCGCATCGCGGTTTTCTGCCATAAAGAATTTGAGTCTTTGGCAAACGGCGTTAATGGCACGTAACATTTGTCACGGGATGGAAAACGGAAGGAAAAATATAGGAACAATGGCGCGACGAACGTTGGCGCGAGGTGTCCGGTTTATGATGGCGATAAAACCTAATCAATAGAGGGTAGTCCCCGAGTTGACGACACAGACGCGGAACAAATTAACTTCTCCAATCATAATTTACACGGGCTTGAACGGGGCTCGATTAATGCGCCGCATTAAATCAATTGCGCTAATGCGGCCCGCTGCATAAATACGTAAAGCTCGTTAAAAACAAAAATTAATGCCCTCCGGTAGTCTCGCGGCGGCACGGCGCGGACTGCGAAATTTCCGCGTTTCACGGGTCCGCGATCGTTAAGTACGGCCAGCTAACGAAATTATCGCCGCCACCCGGCCACCGTCGAAATCGAAATTAACATCAAAGAGAGGGTGCACACGCCGTTCACCCCTGTGTGTATCGATCGGATCCCGTCTCCTCGCTTCATCGGGGCAAAAATCGACCAACGATATACACAGGAGGCGTCGCGACGCGTCGTTGCACCGGGCCCTTCCGCACTCGATTAGGTGCGAATTGACTGTTCCGAGGTGGAACCACTCGCGAATACATTTCGCGAAAATGCACGTGGACTGGATTTTGCTGGAATTTTCGTCACCCGAGCGGTTTAAGCGAATGGTTTACGCGTCGATTCGAGAAGGAAGAGAGTGTTTTTTTAAAGAGACCGGTTGGAACATCGGGTATAAATCTGGGCGAATGGAGTTCACGCCCGCGAAAGGGCGTAAATTTTGGGAAAGGGATATCCAATTACCAGAACGATGCGTTTCATTGGGCGAAAAAACCGCGGCAACAAAATAACCGTCGGTGAAAGTAACGAGAAACGTCGATTTAACTGGTCCCGTCCCGATCGGTCGATTGAACCGTTCCTATTTTCGATGCATGGAACAGCTTGGAACGATCCACTGGCCGTTCCCGTAAATTGTCATCCGCGATTGTTCGTTCCTCCTACGTAAATCTATTACCGGCTACGTGAAGCCTTCGCGCCAGCCAGGTGCATCGTGATGCCCATCCCATAAAGTCCCATAAAGTGGTACCGAGTTTGATCAACGTTATGGGACTGGATTTATCGCTCCCATACTTTGTTCCTTCGCGATTCCAATCTTCCTCGACGATAGGGACGAACCGCGTTAATTCTATTCGTGATTGCAGGGTGAGACGCGACTGACTCGGCGTAAAATTTGAAATTCGTATCGAGTGTCCTGATGGGAAGGATCTATGCGTAACACGATCCCCCATCGGTGGTCCGGACCTCTTCGTCTCAGGAATCAAGGACGAAAATGAAATTTCGCATAACATTCGACGTATCATTGCTCTAAGAACGGTGAATCGTGACAAAACTCACCGGATGACAGTTTAGACCTCTGCAACAGCCAAGTCTGCAGCGCCAGCCGTTCCCTGTGCCTGCAGAAGAACTCCGGCCTGATCCCGTGCCTCTTGAGGAACTCGTCGCACTTTCTAAACGCAGCCAAAGCCTTAGCAGCCTCCACCTCGTCGATGTCCGCGAGGACGTTGGGGCAGGAACTTCGTCTCGAGGACGAGGAACGTTCCTCGTAAGTCTCGTCGGGCAAGAGCATCCCCATTCCCGCGGGATAGGATCTCCGGGACCACCACCACCACTGCACCACGATCCCCTCGTCTTCCTTTCGACAGCTGTCGTCGGTGTTCACGCCGGTCTGGCAACTTCCAGCTCGCGGCACTCGTCCAAAGCACATATTAATCCCGGCCCTTTGCTTCAGAAAAGCGTTTCTAATCGGCTAGGAAACGAGTCTCGAGCTGCTTCTCGCAAAACGTCCCCTCTATAACTCTCCCTCTCTCGCTTTCTCTCTCTCTCTCTCTCTCTCTCTCTCTCTATCCCTGTTGGTTGCTTTTCCCGCGGTTCTTCAGTTTGTGCGTGAACAGTTAATTTTCCGCGGCACGAATGACGGCCTGCTTCGCCGATCTGAACCCTAGAGCAGAGAGGGACGACGCGGTCTTAATGAGATTTCATCCCGATTAATAGGATTTCGTCGCGAAGGCGGTCGGTTGCTGGAAACGCGAGCTCTTTCACGCGAACCACCGTCGTGCCAGGCATCTTGGTTGACGGACTCGATTTTTTCTCTCCAACGGCAGGGGTGGCTCCAATGGCGCCTTCGTTCTCGATTCCTCCCCGGTCGCTAATTGAATCGAACCCCGACGGATCGGTTTATTGGCTAGGAAAGCATCCGCACCTCCCAGCTGGATGATAGTCAAGCCTCAAAGATTTCCTCCAGGAGCCGTTCGACAGCCGGCTACGTGGCTCGAATTCGAAGACGTCCGACCGTAATCTCCGTGAAATCGATCGTCCGGGCGGTAGATCGGTATCGATCCGGATCACGTCGCAGGCGCTGCCACGGCTTTCACCCGATTCGACGGTTCACGCCTCGACTTTGCCCGACGTTCGATGCTTTCGCTGTTGATCGTGTCCAGAAGCGACTTTCCAACGGTGCTTCTACGGTACAGGGATATCGCTTACGCTTGACACACTTCCGCGCCATCGTTCTTCCAGGCGAGACGACAAGGTTCCCCGGGTGTCCTGGAAAATGGAGGATGTTGCGTGTGAACCAGAGGATTACCACAGGATCCGATGTTCTTTTATATACACATCTATCGCCCCGTCGACTCCTTCGGGTCCAAAGGAATCGACGTTCGCGCTAATTCCGGATCAACGAAAATTCCGCTCCGAATTTCGATGTTCACGCTCCGAATTTCGCATTACGATTCGCGCTCAGGTTACGCCACCCTCTCCCTCGCAGCTGTTGAAAAGCGAATCTTTCTTCCTTTTTTTATCGGGACAACGATAAAAAGAGTCGTTTCGGTTAATAATGGGACGCCTTTGAATTTCCCGCGCAGAAATTGATACATTTCCCCGTTTATGAGACGCGAATAAAACAACGGCGTGCCAAGAGTTATAGCGGATATTCATGGGATTATGGGAGACAGCGGTACGATTTAATAGCGCGACCATTTCCATTTTAGAGGGTTGGCCAACGATAAACATATTAACGGTCCCGTTACCACCGTTACAGCAACAATACACGCTCCCATTCAGACCCGGCGCGTGGACGTGTTTCGCGAAATTTGCTTAATTTTTTCACACCCGCGCAATACCCCTTCACGCGCAATCCCGCGATAACTAATAAACCTTGGCGAATTTGAAAATACGCGCTTTATATCGACACGTTTTGTCCCCGCAGGCTTGTTCGCTAACTCGATTAATTCTGCCAACAACTGCGAGCTTGTGAGAGGGGGGAAGATCAAGTTCGCCAAACTTGTTTCGTGCTTCCCGAGAAAGCTTAGCCTACGCGATACGGAGAGAATATAAGGTAAAGCTAGACCATTAATTAACGAAAACACGCGGTCGATTTGGCTGGAAAAGTATGGCGACAAGCGGATCGGTAGCGTTGACGATCCTGCGACACGCAAACACGCTGACCCCCTGGTTAGTCTTACTTAATCGACGATAAACATCATTGTGCGTCGGAATCTTCCCCGATATATTAAGAACCGTGCACAACGTCCAGGATATTTCGTCGAATATCCCGATATTTCTAACGAAGTTGATACACTCGAGACTTTGGAATCCGCATCGCAACGAGGGTTGAAAATGGCCACGACAGCCAGGGGAATTTATTGGAGAAACAAAAGAGCAACAGCGTGGATGAGTAGAAATCTATTTCGTTGGCTTTACGATATTCTTTTGTCACCGCAGTCAATCAGCAATAAGAGACGCCAATGTACAATTGTTATTTTAAAAAATAAATACGTCATTTCCTAAATTCATACAGCCCTGCGTTACCCTGTTGTCCAACCCCAATAGAATTATTCTAGTACCTGTGGTACTTTTTTCTCGGACATTGAAACCCCACAAATGGCGTTATTCATCTGCCACTTGGTACGGTCATCCATCATATTTTTCAACGAACACGGATACCATCGGGTTAGACGTTCTAAATGCCACTCTCGATTGCTCGGTCGTCCTGCAGAGGTACCGTTACTTAGACGTTAATCCAGTCTGCTTCGTTATCGCGCGGAAACATTCATCAGAAGTCCCATAGGAGTCGTGACACGTTCGATCGTCGTGTGGACGTGGCTTTAAACCGCGATGCATAAACATCGCGATGAAGAAGAGGGAAGAAACGGTGACTCGACACGTGCCACCCACGGTGAATTACAGTATTCGTGGATCCACTCGGCGATCGAGGGACCACCGGTAGTTCAATACGCGAATAAAGATCGAGATCAGAATCTCCGACACCAGGAAACCGTCCGTTCCATCGAATCGATGCCTTCCTTTGCCTATCTCCCACGAAATCTAGCCGGCCAATCGACCGAATCGTCGTAGATCGTCCTGGAAGGCTGGATCACGAGTGGATCGATCTGGACGCCTCTCAACGGGGACCATTTTCCCTTTCGCCAATCGCTTAACTACGTCTGAACCCTGGGTTGAAGCCATCGAGCTTGGAATATTTCCCAAGGACCGACATTTTTTTCTTTTATTATTACGAAAAATATTCGTTAATGGAAATTCACGATCTCGATAAAAAAAACTTTCTCTATTTTCGACGGCTGAGAATTTGTCGGGATCTCGTCAGTCTGACGGTGCTTTCGGTGTTAAACCGAGGGTAAACCTAGTCGACCTAGGTGTACCTGCGAGCACGCGATCGTAGGATGAACCTTTTGCTACGAATGTGTATTACGTGCCCCCTGTAAGACCCCGTGGGGTAATTCTTTAATTACTTTTCACCCCAAGCGGCAAGAGCACAGTGTACCCGGCTATAAGGCCGCGCCAGCGACACCCTAATTGTCCCTGGAAGTGTCATTGCTTCGGTGGCTACTCTCGTTTCCGTTATAAGCCATGGAAAGGTAGACAGTGACTGGATTTGGTTTAAGACCAATTAACCAAGCTTTATAGACAAATGTGATTGTCACTCTGACATCCTACATCTACGATAGAAGCACTATGAATTACGTAAAAGACATTTTAGACCTTGTGAAATGTTGGTTCGTGTATGTCTGTGTCTGTATCTGTATTCTCGTTGACGACAGCTTGAATACCGGATGATTGAATATACTAGAGACCCGTTAAATATTTTAGTAACCATCGCGTCCAACGTTAAATTGACCTAAATACACGTTCAGCTTTCGTCTTTGCAGTCTAGGGTTCACCATCGACAGGTTGCAGACATCAGAAGTTGAAAACTATTATATCGATTTCAGTATTCAAAGTAGTTTCGAACAATAGCTATTTTCAATAACGATTATAAACCGGAACTGATACAGCCAAGAGCCTTTCTCGTCGTAACAGGCACAACGTCATTTTGGTTCTCCGTGGCTCTTAACAGTTATTCCTGGAACCATTTCAGCCCCTAATCTAAACTGACTGTACATCGTAAAACGGCATATAATTCATGCACCGGTAGAGTGACTCGATAATAAGCGTGAGAAATATCGTTTCGATTCAACCACCTCGCCAGAACGAAACGTGATAATTCGAGAATATTTAGCGGTTCCCCGAGATCTCGGTAAAAAAAAGAAATCCGAGAAAAAATAGCTCGATTTATCTCCACCCTTTATTAACGTTAAACGCAGAAATGATACCCGACTGTTAATGATCGGGGCACACGACTAATCGTCCATCATAATCGTTATACCCTGCCTCCTCTGTTCGTGCCTCTCAGATTCTGACCTCGCCTTTCCTCCTCAACGTCGAAAAGCAGGGCCCGCGGCGACAGCGCGGGAACCTCACGACCGTCTGATAAATTTACGTCCAATGAGTTTAAAGCGCATTAGTGCGCGATAAATTTCGTCCTTTGCCTTACAAGTCCCGCGGGCGACGAGAGGCAAGAGATCGTCTACAAGCTATACTTCCCTCGTGATCCATATTTTCCCTGCCTCGCGATTATTGCGAGACGAAAGGTTTCTCTGATAATAGTACTCCGCGAAATTCCGAAACTCTCCACGCGTCGACACGCCGTAATTTAACCTCGCTATTTCACCCATTCCTCTTCATCCTCGGAAACTAAATCATGTCAAAGACTACCACCCAGGCATCGAAAAATACCCCTCTCGAGTTCTCCGATTTAAGAAACCATTTCTTAGGGTCCCTAGAGCCTTCTATGGCGTTCTAAGACCTAACTGCTCTAACGGATCTAGAGCCATTAAAAGTACGCGATTTGGTAAAATTAATGTTTGACCGGTGATGTCGAATCGACGTTAGGTCGGCTCCGTTCCATCATCGATCACGACACGAAACGAAGGATGAAAAAGGTAAGGACAAAGTTGGCAATTACCCATATTCGTTTCTAACTGGAAATTGCGAATGGGGAGTTGGAACGAGGCGAGTCTTGGCTCTCGATCCTCGTAAATCGATACCGTCGCGGCAGTAAAGATCAACGAAAGCGCTGGCCACGCGAAAGTTAGCTTAACCGCTCGCCCCCTCCGAGGAGATTTACCTTAGAACGTAAAGCGCTCGCGATAATTTTATTTCGTCGGGCGTGTAAGCCGTTCGGCGTATGCCTCGTGTGCGTGTAAGCCGCGCGTGTATCGCGCGCCGGGCCGGGCATATAATATGCAACGCGGACACGTGCATCCTGCTCTGCACCCTCGTGTCTGCGAGTCGTGGGAGATAGGAGCGGAGGAGCGAAGGAAACGAAGCGCCAGAGGAACCGAGTGGACCGATGGGGCAGCGCGTGAA